AACCTACTCCTACCTACTGCCTCTTCCCGTGACGAGAAGAGGAGGGGGGAGGGGCGAGAGAGCCAGCCGGGTTCTTGAAATTGAACACTTAGCTAATATACTCGTGGTATAAAGAAAAGTGCAATACAAAATCAAGTTAGTGATTAGTGAATGTATAACTGTAATAGTTTACAATAATATGTTTAAACGCAAAAGAGATCGTTACGTTGATCACGATTCACAGAGCACAATATGAAGATGTTTGCCGTATGAACGCCGCGGACTCTCTCCCGTTACGGTCATCGTAGGGCTTTGGGAATTTCAATGTCTCAGTGAACCTTTGATTCGAAGGACTGAACCTCGGGTAGGAATTTTAACCGGCGATTAGCGTGACCACCAAGCAGACGTGAACAATTCAAACGTCTTCACAATATTATAATGTGTTAGTCACAATAATCTTCAAACCTGGCAAACCAATTTTGATTAAAATTCGTTAGTCTGGTCTTTCCGGTCAATGCATAACAATAGAATTTAAAAATACGTCTTGGTAAAAACTTACTATTTTTCAGCCCGTATCGGGGTTTCCACTCCGCGAACAACCAAAGTAATGTTTTTCTAGATTTATTTTTCAATCTACACAAAACCATAAAAATTGGTACTACAATTATACTTTAGTAAACTAGCAGGTTCCGGACGTTGCACGAGCCCGATAATTACTGCAATTTCGGAATACCGTTCTCCTAATCATGCTACGAACAATATAGACTTAACATGCTATTTAGACAAGAGCTCCCTTCAAACGCACATTTTACATAGAATATACGAGTAGGACCCCAATGCCACTCAGTTTAGAGAATATAATGAACCAATTCGTGCCTATTACATTCAATTTTAACTAACCAATTGTGGAATTCAATTTTAGTCCATCAGTCAATGTTTCGCTACTGTCCCACTGAACATTTAATTTCAGATCCAAGTAATATCCCGCCACGATAGTTTTACACGGTACGCACATGAACAGCCCCTCTATATTTGCGGCACCAGGGGCCGTATTATCAAAACTTCGTAAGTACGCAAAATCAACTTAGGAGTGGCATTGCTATGGCAACGTAATACTAGAGGTGGTATTATAAAAACATTTTCGCGGGAAAAAAATTTAGGCTTTTAGGTAAGACTTGCGTACGAAAGTTTTGATAATGCCAAAATTAGGGTGTATTTACGTACCACAAACTTTTTTGTCGTAAGTACAAAAAGTTACGAAGTTTTGATAATCCGGCCCCAGGCTAACAGCTGAACGGCTAGCAGCCTAGCGCCTCATTAATGCTAGCGATGCCAGGGCAATAATTGATGAACACAGACTAAAGGCATAGTTTATTGGGTGGTAATACACAGCCAAACGAGGACTAGGCGACCGAAGGCGAGTTGACTAGTAGGGTCGTCTAGGTGGACGTTAGGCTGGTTAAGCACAGGCCTGAGTGGACGTTAGGCTGGTTGAGCACATTCCTGAGTTGACGTTAGGCTGGTCGAGCACAGGCCTGAGTGAACGTTAGGCTGGTTGAACACAGGCCTAGGTGGACGTTAGGCTGGTTGAACACAGGCCTAGGTGGACGTTAGGCAAGTTGAACACAGGCCTAGGTGGACGTTAGGCTGGTTGAGCACAGGCCTACTGCAGCCACTCCTCGAGGTAGCGGCAGGACTGGGGCGTGATGCTGCCCATGTCACAGCAGCGGTGAGCCATCTGCACCACACACGAATGTCAACATGGGGGCATACAAAGTAAATAAATAAAACGTCAATATAAAATACGTCATGAATGCGGGGCTCATACGGAGAAGAAACAATTTAGAATACATCATGAATACGGGGCTCATACAGAGAACGAACAATTTAAAATACATCATGAATACGGGGCTCATACAGAGAACGAACACTTTAAAATACATCATGAATACGGGGCTCATACAGAGGACACACAAGGAATACGGGAGTCATGCCAAGAACACACAATTTAGAATACATCATGAATACGGGGCTCATACAGAGAACAAACAATTTAGAATGCATCACGAATACGGGGTTCATATAGAGAACAAACAATTTAGAATATATCACTTGCGTATGTCATAGAAGGTCATGACGTCACGCGTCATGGAGGTGCTTACCGGACAGACGCCGCAGGGGGCGTAGAGGAGGTGGGGGGTGGGGGTGCAGTCGGGGACAGCGCGCCACAACTTGACCCCCCCACCCCCCGCCTTGCCCCCATACCCCCCGCTGCAGCTCCTCACCACCCCGTCCAGCTCGAGAGTATCTAGCAGCTTCTCCACGTCCTGCACGCTCAGCGCGATCTGCTCAGCACACCACAGTCAGCTCAGCACTTTGTGTTCAAATTACGGTCAGCTCAGCAAATTGTGTTCATTATGATTAGCTCAGCACATTGTGTACACGTACATTGTACACAGCACGTAATGATGATGGGGGGGGGGGGAGTTATACACATCCCTCTTGGTTCTGGGAACCTTATAGTAACCCCCACACAACATCCCTTCCCTCGCCCCATTTCCCTTGAGCAAGTGGTACCCCGCAGCCATCAATCCCCCCCCCCTTCTCCTCCTCTATCCTCTATAGAGGAGGAGGAAGCCTTCAGTTGCAAGTGTCTCCTACCCCCACCGCCTTCAGGTGCAAGTGTCCCCTCTCACTTCACCTTAGCGAGCTTGACGCGCTCGATGTATTCCTGCATCTCCTTAGACGTGACCTTAGCTGCATTCACGACAGTCAAGGGGCCGTCTTTGCCGTGCTCTGCTTCTGCTGACTTCAGCTTTGTCGCCAGATATCTGATAGCACAATTAACAAAGCTTTAGATGAAGTCAGAAGTTATGTCAGTTCATCTGACAAACAAAAATAGGTACTGAGGTCAGGAGTAACAGAAACTGGTCAAATCTGATAGGCGATAGCACAATTAACATAGCTTTAGATGAAGTCAGAAGTTATGTCAGTTCATCTGACAAGAAAACATAGGTACTGTCAGGAGTAACAGAAACAAGTCACAGAGTGTTGTTGTCAAGCAGAGAAAATTCATAATTTATTACCAGTTGTTATGGTAGTTGGATCACCACTTCACCAGTTATGGTAAATTGAGTTTTGGTTGACAAATGAATAAGAAATATTGTGTCATAAATTTGATCACCATCTTTACGCATCAGTTCATCAACAAAAATAAACAAACTCTACTATAATGCTCACTGATTAACAATGAAAAAACCTAAACTCGTTCTTCTGAATTTAAAACATCAACAGCAAGACTTTATAAAAGGAAATTTAGGTAACAAAACGAATGAAACCATTAAAAGAGACTAACTTGTAGCACGTGTCCATGAGAACCTCAACAAAGTTGCTGTCAAACTGATTGTCTGAATAGAACGCCCCACCAGTGAGGCTGTGGTCAGGCTCTATGCTGCTCACCAGGTAGAACTTCTTCTTTGGAGCCTTCAAGAGAACAAGAAAAACGGATAGAGACGTATTTCTAAAATGGATACGAGCATTTTTGATCAATTAATAGGATCAGGTGGGCATATATTCAAGTTGTGCAAGGCTGAGAAATTCAATACGAAATGATTGCATATTCATATCACTCACTATGATTTTGAATCCATATACTCCAAAAAATATTAAGAATCAGCATATTAACCTATTCTACACATAAAAGTGAAATATATATACAATATATATACTTACTTGCACAGAATTTATGCTCTTTATTAATTTCTTGCTTTCAAGTCTCTTCAGGACGCGGTCCACCACATTCAGATGGAGGTTGGACTCGGCCCTGATTTTGCGAGCCCAGATTCCAAAGCTGCCACTCCGCTCTATGATCTCATAAACTGCCTGCACAGGCAAAATAAAGGAAATAAAAATTCTTAAAGGCCAGCACAACAAAATATATATAATGGAAAACACTGAAAATATCTGAACTTTTGATCTAGCAGATTCCAAACTTATTGTAATTACCAAAGACATGTGTGACAGTGGTTATATTTATTTGCGCGACAAAATACATGTACAGTATATAGGAAAATCATCTTTGTAGTTATCATAAATTCATTTTCCGAGGAGTAACAAATAATCAACATTTCAATAATAAACAAGAAATGCATCAATCATTTTAGCTGTAGTGACAAAATCAAGGCTTACATACTACTCTTGTTGTCTTTCAACTTGCCTCAAACTGTGTATAGTGTATTTTAGTCTAAAATTGGCTGACAATAATTTGAAAATTAGAGATGAAATATGAGGAAATCATCATACCTGTTCTTCTTTATTGGCTCCTTTTAATTTATGTAGCAATACAGGGTCCTTCAGCTTATATAGGAGGCTACCATCTTGTTTAGACAGCAATTGAAGTTTGTTCTGAAAATAAATTACTCAGGCAAATATTCTGTGCTAGAAGTGTAGACTTTTTATTCTTCACAAGATACATTAATATGAATGTGTACCACATGGATAATATGGCAATGTAAGTCCATTGCTATGAATATATAGGTACCACCTTATACAATTCACATTCTTTGTGCTAAGATGAACAAAAATAAAATTGATGCCTAAACATGGCAAAAAATTACATACCTTAGCCAACAATTTATTAAGAGCATCAACCACCATTTGCTTGGTGAGGTGAGGCATATCATTCTCTATGACGGATACTGTGATGCCTTGCTTGAACTGCTCACAGAGTGCCAGAATCCTGATCACAAATATGATAATTAGAAATAATTGTGTATTTATAAATCAATAATTCGTAAGATAGGTCAGCTGACACCTATTTACTGCTCAAGTTTTTCAGGTAACTATTGCTTATGCAAAATTTGCCAACATTGCAGAAAAACCCTTAATACAATTTTCATAATGAATAACTTAACATACAATCTTTCTGAAAATATAAATCAAGTTCCCATATAGGTACATAAATTTTTAAAGATTGAAAAATATATTTCTTTCATTGGTAATTTTTATAAATTATTTTTGTTTATGACAGTCACAGGGTTGAACTATAACAGCATAGGGGTGAGAAATAAGGCTTAGATTCTCTTCTGCATCTTTTTTCCAAGGGTTAAAACAATGGTAAATGCATTTGATTCAATTGTATGACAGTATTCCTATTTCCAGATGAAAAATTTAAGCTCAAATTGAATTTTAATTTCAAAGCAACAATAATATCTTTAGATATTTCCTTCAATACAGAAGCAACTATCAGCTTTCAATTCTTAGGAATTAAATTGATTGCAAACACTAATATTGTCAGTACAATTCTTGTCTTGGCAATTCATCAAGAGATAAGCTAAGAGACAATTCAAGTGGTTAATAGTAAAGACTGTTGTGCATTTATACTTATTCCTTTCTGAAACATCAAGAGGATATTGGAGAAATTTATTCTATATTGAAGCCAAGTGTTTAGAAAAGTTGACTGAAAATGTAAGAAATACATTTTACTCTGACAAAGCATATCAATTAAACAATTTAAATGAGACAAAATACTCAATATTACAAGCACAACTAACCTCTTTTCTTCTTCTGAATATGAACTTCCATACACACTGGGTGTTTGGGACGTAGATGCTGCATCGTCTTGCATTTTAATTCAATATATCTACTTCAACCTCAGCAAAACTTGTTCTGAAACAATGAACAGGAGGGATTAGGAATTGGTAATAGATGAACTGGCACACATGACATTCATATTAGGTCAGAAAACCAAATACTGAACCTACTTTTGATTGCTACCTACCCAGATTGTATGCCAGCTATCAGAGTGTGATGTGAGAGAAGTAATACATGAAGAAGTACGGTACTCTGATATTCTAATTCTAACCTACCTCACCATGCTCACCTGGTACTCAGGCTGGTAGGCTGGTAGGTTAAAACTTGGAATTAGCACAGGGTGAGGGTAGCTGGACTAGAATGATACTGAAAGAGCAATAAATTCAAACAAAATTATCTAAATAATCAATATAAGCTTGGATAAACTATAACACAGGAATACATGAAGAACCAATAACTGCATTAACCCATTTATGCCAAAGGTGAGAAAAATTGAATGTACAATGGAAAAACTAATAAAATGGCTTCATTGCGACATAATTAAATAATTGATCCAGTTTATTCAAGAAAATCAGTCGGAAATAAAAAATATAAGGTGTCCTATATATAGGACGCCAGGCAATACGTAACAAAAATAGCACAAAATTGACCACGCCTTACAACAGAAAGAGTACTACATATCTACTTTGTGGGGAAGTTTTTGAAGCACTTGACATGTAATCTTTTATCACACTTTTTACACCTTGTTATAGTCTTCTGGTGACTGTGTGCACAGCGCGTCTGCTTGTCTAGAGGAATGACCCAATAATTGACGTTGTAACTGCAGCTCTGCTTCTATAGCAGGTAGACGGTCTTTGCAATCTTGCTGTGGAGGTTTTCTGGTTTTGCATAGTGTTCAAGATAATTAGATAAAACTGGTGTATGAAACGCTAGCAGATCAAGTTTCTCAGCATCTTTATTCCTTCTATTCAAAAGCCATGTGTTGTTTATGGAAACATCGATGATATATGACACAATGGAAGAGTAGGTACCATTTTATATTTCTTATTGCTGTTCTGTACTTCAATACTTTTTCATCCATTCCATCTACATCACCCCTCAAAAAACTACTTTTATCTCTTCTCTTGTGACTCTGAGCTCTCATTTCTCTGAGATGCATACCTGTTTCTTTTGTGAACAATAATGTCAAACAAATTATCATAAAAAAACAGTTCAAAAAATTCTACTAGAGCGAGACCATCCCCATAGAGATTTTCTACATCTGCATTCATCCATTCCGGCATTCTGCACTCAATATCATGCATTTTCCAACATCTTTGCCTAGATAGCTTCTTGGTTCTTTTCTTGGGTGGTCATTGATTCTCATTTTCCATGTGTGACTCATGAAAACCATTTGAATCAACAACTGCAGCCCTAAGCATGCTTTCTGGTAAGTTATTGATATTTCCTGGTTCTTCATCCCAGATTCCTAATCAGTGAGTATTTCTGTACCATTGTCTGGAGGCTCAATGTAATTTATATTGTCTGGTTCTTCACCATCGTCGATTCGGTCAAGTAGCTAAGCAATTCTTGTCCCTCTTGGCGTAGGCCTGAGGTTGGCCATAGAATTTATCAACCGGACAGGAACTAAGTTGAAATTCTAGAAACATTGTAGGATTAATCTTTTAGTGAATATGTTCAAAACAGAGACCTTATGAGTTTATGAACAAAAGTCTGCTGTCTGTTGTCTGAATTAGTCTAAATTTGGCAGTGTGTTGATAGTGCAAGTTAGATATTTTAGTTAGCAACTTATTATCACAATGTACCCATGTTTGGCACTCTGCAACTAAACCTTGATTTCAAAAAGTACATCCATACATCAATATACATGAAAAAATATGTACATTATGATATAAAGCAAAGAAATTCTGAAGGTTTCTTCCAATAAATGAATGCACTGAACAAAACTCCCCATGTGAACTAGGTTCATACCATTCATTCAATACCCCTAGCAACCTACATGTAGGACACCAACAGTCCGACATGGCGACACAGTGACACACCGTTGTTTAGCATTTCCTCACGCCTTATGTGCTGAATATTTTGATATATCTCTATTACTTATCTAGTATAAGGCTATTCCTATTCTACTATCCGCAATAAGAATATGCACAATCATAGTGGCAAAGCAGAGAGTTTTTTAGACTCTTCCTCAAGTTCATTTTTGAGTCCTATAAGTAGACCAGTAAAGTATCTTGGATACCAGAATTTTCATACATAAGAAATCTGTTAAAATCTGAAGTAAATGAGGAAATTAAAAATGAGCTGATTCTAAAAAATCACTGGTTTGCCACTATGTGCACAATGCACCTCATGACATGAAACAGTTATTCTAACATTTGGAAAAACTTACCTTTTTGAAGAGTGAAGACACTATGCTTTCTCAGGAGAACTTATGAATGAACACTATTTATTTGAGCGCTCCTGTATGACAAACTCCACATGCAATCTCTAATCGGCAGCTGAAACTCGCTTGGGGAAAGAGTACTGAATGTCATACAATTAATAAATAGTGACAAACCAGAGATTTTTTAGAACCAGTTCATTTTTAATTTCCTCATTTACTCAAGATTTAAACCAATTTCTTATGTATGATAATGCTGGTATGGTATCCATGAATTACTTTGCTGGTCTACTTATAGGACTCAAAAATTAACTTGAGGGAGAGTCTAAAAAAACTCTCTGCTTTGCCACTACAATCAACAACAATTAATTTTTTTAGCTTTCCACCATCAGTAAGCAGCAAAAAATTTTTGATGGACTTAGACTGACAGGTTAGCTGACCTAGGTTAGGTTAAACTTAGGTATACTGTATTATTATTTCCGTATATCATATGTAGAATGCCAGGCATAAATGGGTTTACTGGCATCAACATGAGGCAGAGAACTAACAGTTTTGCAAGAATTATAGGGAATGCATTCAATGCAATATGGTTATAATTTATAGCAGACTTACCAATGTTTGCAATTCCAGGGCCAGGCTAAGTGTGTGTGTGTGCTTTGTTGAAGGTGAAGAGATGACCTCACGCAGGCCGACTGTCACACCTGGACATGGCATTAATTGCTGGCTTTCCAAATTTTTCCACTTGCAGCCACAGTCAAATTTTTCTTGCTTGTAGGAGGTGGCTGTTATTTCAGGATTTTCCTGGTATTATTTTCAGATAGATGGCAGTTGCTTGGGTTGCTGCTACAATTTTCATGGTTTCCAAAGATCTTTTAACTGTCTTGATTCATAGCTGGCATAGTTCCTCTTCTTGGTATTTCCAGATAACTGGCGATTCATCTTCTTGGTATTTCCAAATAACTATCTTTGACAGAAGAATCTTGAATTATTTTGTTCAATTCTTTAGCAACCAAGACTGGGTTTAGGGAGATTTTATTTGCGTACAAAGATGTTTGCTTGATCAGTACTGTATTTTGATTTCCTGTTGACTGAGAAGTTAAATTTGAGGGAAAGGCTTTAAGGTGCTTATTGTTTGAGAATGGTCCAACTGGTTTTGGACTGGTTCCTGTTAAGGGGCTGAATGAATTCATTGAATTGTCTAGTTCTTCTTCTGATTCCATGCTCTTCTGTCGTTTGCGTCCACTTAAGTTTTGGGGTTTTGTCACCTGATGTGCTTCTGTGCCAGCTCTAGCAGAAAAGTTGTAACCATCCAGTCCATTTGAAGGCTGTTCATTCATTTCCATGTCATCTAGCAACAAGCCAGGTGGCGGGATCACATGAAAACTTGAGGTACAGGTACCTTGTGTTGGCGTTTCTGGGATAATGTCCTCTTCATCATCTTCAGGCAGGTCGGGATCAGATCCCAGCATGGTGCTGGTATTATGGTATCAGGTATCTTGATGCAGACAAAATTTTTCAGATAAACACAGAAGAAACAACAATGGTCATCCAATACTTAGGTCAGATGGATTTATTAGGTACAGAAAAAAAAAAAACAGTAATATTAAGAATCAAGTTGAATATGTAGCATACACTGGACTATAAATTGCAATACAGGTACACAAAATTCTAGTACAGTTATACCAGTTGATGAATAGCCTACTGTGATACAGATAGCTACAAATACAATCAATCAATGAAGTACAAAAACAATGCAATTAATACAAGTTATACAACACACATAAATACAATAATGATTGAATCAATAATAATGACAAAACCGAGCCAGTTTTTGCTACCTGTACTGATCTAATTTCTAGCTGGCTCGCAAACCTACTCCTACCTAGTACCTACTGCCTCTTCCCGTGACGAGAAGAGGAGGGGGGAGGGGCGAGAGAGCCAGCCGGGTTCTTGAAATTGAACACTTAGCTAATATACTCGTGGTATAAAGAAAAGTGCAATACAAAATCAAGTTAGTGATTAGTGAATGTATAACTGTAATAGTTTACAATAATATGTTTAAACGCAAAAGAGATCGTTACGTTGATCACGATTCACGATTCACAGAGCACAATATGAAGATGTTTGCCGTATGAACGCCGCGGACTCTCTCAGAGTACAGACTACTGACTAAATTTCAGGCCCGCATCATTCCGCTAACCCGGACCGTATGACTAAAATGCGGACGAAGAGCGACAGCGGGCCTGGGGACACTAAAAAATAAGGTTGCGAATTATCATGGTTATTTTAGTAGTTCAGTAGTTTATAGTTCAACCATGGCGAATTATCTCAAACTTCGAGCTCACTTGAAATCTTGTACGTCATATTTACAAATCGTACTTTGAATAATTTTTCCAGTCAGAACATCAGGGTTTCAGAAAATTTGATTTATTGATAGACCAATTGATAGAGAATTGTCTGCAACGTTCAAAATATATAGAACGCTTTCCAAGAAATTTTGTCCATTTTAAAAACATTATTGGGGCCTATCGATCACGGACTGGCGTATTCCGGTGTCAAAAAGGCAATTTTTCGGTGGAATTGATCGATAGAGAATTGTTGAAAATTGGTGATGAAATGTGTCGGAGATGAAATACGCCAAAGTTGAAATGCCCCATGATGAATTGATATAGTGATAGAATATGTCAAGGATGAAATGCCCAATGATGAATTACTATAGTAAGAAATGCGTCAATGATGATATATCTCCATGATGAGGTCCCAAGGAACCGTTATAAGGACGTTTCAGATAATTCACTACCGATCAATTAGATCGAAAACAACTTCTATGAGATCTGCTGTGTCTTTGTCTCCTTTATATAGTGTTAGCCAGCTGAATAATAGCAAGTACAACCATAAACTTGTACCCACAGCTCCCAAGCTCGTGTCCCCAAATTCTTTACCTAAGAAATCACATTCACTCATCTTCTTTGCATTATAAGCTGTAATAAACTATCCTCATATTCGATCCTTTTTATTGGCGCCTTTCGCTTAATTGATACTCGAAGTAATTTCCCATGTAAGGGCAAAAATTGAACTGAAAATTCTGCAGGTAGCCTATGAACGACCTTCTCTGTAAGGATATAATGGATACGGGAAAAAATTTTTTGCCCCCTCCTACGTAACCCGTTTTCTTACAGCTACGTAACCCGTTTTCCTCCTACGTTCTCTACCTACAGCTACACCCTAACCTTCGGAAGATGGCACCATTATCTACATACGCATCCCTAGGTGGCAGGACAGATTGTTGTGGTGAGTAATGCTTATTGTTTGAGCTAGCGATGCGGGTCTGGAGGGCAAGAGTTCGTCAAAGACCTGTGCCTTTAACCACTACGACAAACTGTCCCAAGACCATAAAAGTTGAAACTTCTATTTGAATTGCGCAACATCCGTTTAAAAGTACTGAATTAATTTCGCCGTCAGCTCCTAAAGCACCGGTGCTTAGACAGCATTATTTGAAATAAATATAAATCAACAATTCGAACAAAACAAAATGAATTTATTAATTTGAAGAATTTAAATATCATCAGTTGTCTCTAATTTTAAAGCAGTTATATTTTTTTAACTACCTGCGATGGTCCACCATCTTCAATACCTCACCCTGAATGCCCCTGAATCGCCTACTAATTGGGCAGGGGGAGGAGGCCGAGAGGCAGGCGCTATCCGATCGTAACTTGTCTACCAAAAATTAATGGAACAATCGTGAGTGTTACTGATGAGTGGGACGTGCTGTGGAGGCCGTGGTTTCAAATTTATTTTAAAGAATTCCTACACGATTAAAATTTTGTAACCGTAAGTCCCACTGTGGAAGGCTTTTCCTGGGACAGCTGAGCACATACTAGTAATCTGGGTTATGACGTCCGTGAAGTATTGTAGGGTTTAGTGCTTGTTGTCGTCAATCAAATGGTAATTAAAAAGAACATTTGAGAAATAATAAAACATTCCAGCAATGTAGACTTTGATGTAGCTTATCACTGAACATCATCAATAAGGTAAAACAAATTCAACAACTTACAAAAAATGAAAAAGCTTCAAAATTTGTACGCGTTAATCTAGGAGATCTCTTTGCTCTGATGCCCTTTAATAAATAATGCGCTACCGAAGCCTCCCAGGAACGAGAGGAGTAAAGCCTACGGAGTTTGCTCCTGAAATTTAACTATAAAATCTCCTTTATCAAGCAATTATAGGTTCTGTTGAACGACGTTCTAAAAATATTTACTTTGCCTTCGGATAAATTTGAAAGCAAAGTAAGCATTTGAAGTAACCAAGGTTAAGCAAAATAATTTTCGTAACTAATTTCTTGACGAGAAAGAAAAACTGACTAAATAAAAGTGATTGCAAAGCATATATAATGTCGGTATCTATAGTAGCAGCTTTCATGATACTCGTTCAGTTATCTTTGAATTTCTTTTCCCCATGGATTCAGTTTCTTTTTAGAAATAGAAACCATGGATCATAATGTGCACTACATTTATATCAATTAATAATACTCATATATCACTCAATTTATATATAGTTCTAAATAAATATTTGTATTTAATACAGTAGATTGATATAAATATTGAATTGTGCAATCGATGCTAAATCCATTAGTAATTTTCAAGTCGACCAATGTGATATAATTGACCGCATTACAATTGAAATTTTCAGCTGATCAAATTTTTTAATTTTATCAGTTAAAGTCAAACAAATTTTTTATCCAATTTTCAATTTTATCATATATAATCAGGGTGAACCAGAATTAACTGACCCTTTTAATTTGTTAATAAATAAAAAACTAAGAACGTTATGAAGTTGAAACTTGTTTTATTTAAAAGAAGAACATTTTTATGGTAATGTTGTATCCTAGTTTTTAGGATACAATAACTAACTAGGATTCAATATTACATACAATATTTTAACTAATACATATTATTAATACATAATAAATATTTTAACTAATACAATAATAAAATATTGTAATAGGATACAATATTTTAACTAGGATACAATATTACCATAAAAATGTTCTTCTTTTAAATAAAACAAGTTTCAACTTCATAACGTTCTTAGTTTTTTATTTATTAACAAATTAAAAGGGTCAGTTAATTCTGGTTCACCCTGTATAACAAATCAATTATTAAACGGCTAATGTAAAACAATTTTTTAATGACTCATGCTCCTTACCTGCATCGTCAAAAGCACATCCTATTTGTTCCTAATAAATCACATCCTAATACGAACATGTATGTAAAGCAATGTATTGCAAAGGTTCGCATCTAATGACTACAATGCCGGAATCTTTATTAAATTGCAACTTTTTAAATATTTTGTGATATTGAATACTCACTTAAATAAGTGCTACATCAATCGATAAATTCACATTGGCGGATTTCACAGTAATTAACATAACACCGGCGATAGTTGAGGGATTACTAAATGCATGCAATGATTGGTTTGATGTTGTTCGTTCACTAGCTTCGTGTTAGACATCAATAATTAATAAAAATTCCGTAATTAATAAAATTCAATGTTTGTAAATCAAAATTCTTGTGGTTAATAACCATGATTAGGCTTAAAAACTCTCCAATAAATAAAATTTATTCATCAAGACTTTCCTGAGTTTGGCTGATTGATGAAAATAGTTTCTAGAAATCAGTTCAGAATGAATTGCCCGTCGATGTTTGCAATAATGCAATATTAGAACATTGCAATAATGCAATATTCTGCTAGAAATTTATGCAGACAATTTTGGCATAAAATTCAGCATGAATTTGACATAAAATTCTCGAACAATTCTGAGAAGAAACTCTAACTGTCACTTGCTAAAGTTGCATCATATTATTCACAGAACATATCAGGGAATTCATTAAATGTACATTCGTTGAAGATAGTTAGAGTTCGTTGCCACTTTTCGAGTCCGTGTTTATCAC